TGATTTTGATTGCTTCCATTGTCCTCATTTGTAAGTCGCTCTGGATAAAAGCATCTGCTTAATGACTAAACGTAATGTAAATGTACGTGACACTTTGAGGCCAGACTCTGGTTGGTGTGACGGGGTTGAGCATAGTTTGACTGACTCAATAATGTGATTTCAATCACTCCTCTTGCATGATCGCAGTAAAAAATGTTAAAACAACATTTTTAAAAATAAAGGTCAATGCAGTTTTTCTTGTGAATCACTGTAATGCAGATATCAGTGTCTATTCCCTAGAGTGAAAAATAAATATAATTACATGTATTTGAAAGACATTTATTTCATGCTAAGTATGCTACAAATACACGTGCATATTTATGCACTTAATAAAAACATGTACTTTTGGTGTACTAAACTAAGTCTGCTAAAATGGAACAACTAATTTAGTTCTTAATGCACTTTAATTGTGCGGAAGTCAGTGCTGAAGTCTAACTAAAGATATACTGAAGTATATTAGATTGTGCTAAAGTGGAGCTATTGCAAGGTACACTTTAAATATCTTGCATTTAAAGACCGATATTATTCAAAGATCATACAATCATCAATATTGACATTAAAATGCATTGTAGGCTTAATATTACGAAATGTGCATTGTGCACAAGTAGTACTCCAAATAAAGTTTAATTATAATTTTATATCAGTAAGTCTCGAGCGATATGTCAGTAAATATGTTAATAGATTTGAACTATACTTAGTATGAAATAAATGCATTTTAAATATACTACTTTTTTGCTAGGGTTAGAAAGCTTGGTCACCCTTTATATAAGCGTATATCTTTAACTACTATGTACTTACATAAATGATAAATACAATGTATTTATTCTGCACAAGCACTGCTATTAAGGTTGTATATGGGTGAGTTTATGGACACGTTTAGTGGTATGGGTTGGTTTAAGTGTGGGTTAAGAGGTGTAACTACAGAACTTAATTATAGATTGCAGGTATTTTTAAATACAAGTACAACATAATAACATGTATGTGCAAAACAAGTGCATTATATCAAATGATTACTGTAAATGTTAGTGCAGAGTAGGTGAAGACACTTCACACAAAGTTTGTCCAGAAGCTCATTATACTTAATGAATCAACACTAACAAGTCTGAGAGATTGAAATATTATTGGATATTCTCCCTAAATCTGCTATTTTTGTATGGTAGGTTACAAAAGTAATAAGAATTGTCTACAGAGTGTGTTTGAGTTATTTGGCTTTATCAGAGTGATGATCCGCCATAACTAAACAGATCGTGTGTTTGCCACAGCATCAGGTCAGTGCAGTCTTGTGATTTATAATGAGTTTCCAGCAGACTGAGGGTGGGCTACGTCACACAGTATTGCCTTGTTCTACACACGGCAGGAGCGTTTCGACAAGAGGTGGATAACAGAGCTCCAAAGTAATCACACGCTTGACTTTGACATACGACTGCGCGGTGCACACATGCACTGGAATCTCTGTTGATTAAATCCAGCACACGCTGTACTTCTGCTCTGTGTGTGTGTGTGTGTCTGTGTGAGTGAGTGAGTGAGTGTGTGTTTGTGTCTGTCTGTCTGTGTGTGTGTGTGTGTGTGTGTGTGTGTGTGTGTGTGTGTGTGTGTGTGTG